CTGGTCAGACCATGGACCCCCACATTCCTATAGGGTGACCCTAAACCCTAAACCCTAAACCCTAAACCCTAAACCCTAAACCCTATACCCTAAACCCTAAATCCTGTTTTGAGGGCATTTCTGCCCGGAGTTTGAAACGCGTGCCCTTTGGCGTTGAAGCGACCCTCCCCGGGCTGGGAGAAGGCGCCTTCTGAAAGTTTTCCTGACAAAACCCTAAACCCTAAATCCTTAACCCTAAATCCTAAACCCTCACTCGGCCAAGATTCCTCCTGAGGCTTCGGTGCTGGGACAGGCGACTCGTCCTGCCATTCTCATCTTCGGGAACCCTAAAACCCTAAAACCTTAAACCCTCAAAAGGGTTTAGGGTTTAGGTTTAGGGTTGAGGGTTTAGGGAATCCTACGGAGACATCTACTGCGGCCTCTAGAATGTCGACCTCCAGGAGTGGACCTCTGCATGCAGAACCTTGAAGCTGCTGGGGGGGTGGGGGGGAAGCATCGATTCCAACTTCGGTTGCCGTCTAGGGTTTAGGGTTTAGACTTTAAGGTTTAAGGTATAGGGTCAGGGTCCACCCAACCATCGAAACGGCCCAATGATCCCCATTGCTACCAGCACCCCCCGTCATCATGGCCTGTAAGCCCAATATAGGGTGCGCGACTTGTATCGGTAATATGACCCCCAGCTGCTTCTTCTACTTTACGAGCCCGAAAGTCGTGCAGCTGTCCGAAAAAGGAGCTGCAAATGGAGGTCTAGGAACCCTAAACCACACCACAAAATCACCCTTTTGGAACCTGGGCTCTCTCCGCCAAACCCTAAACCCCAAACCCCAAACCCCAAACCCTAAACCCTAAACCCTTTTTATCCCTAAAATCGAAACCCTAACCCTCAGCCCTCAGCCCTAAACAGCTGCTCCTTCGGAGAGCTGCCCTCCGACTGCCCCTCTGCGGTGGATGCGGTCTCCATGGACAGCTTCAAGGCTGCCTTGAGGGTTTAGGGTTTAGGGTTCGGGGTTCAGGGCCCTTGAAGAAACTTCAGGGCAGGGCCTGCCTAGTCTTCGTTGTGACATGTCAGACGATGCTGGGCCATCCAACCTCACCTCCACCTTTCTGGCCCACCTTCTGACGCTAGCGCTGCTTGCTTCGGCCTGCTTTTTCAGGGTTGGACCATGGCGGCATCCACAACAGATGAGATCGAAACCAGGGGCCGCGCCATCCCCGTACGGACGGCTCATAGTTGCTAAGCGTCTATGAGTACTCAGACAAATCGCCTCTCAGAGACTCTCGCTCGCGGGCCTAAGGACTCAGGACAAACAACCCTGAAGCCCCAACACTAACTAAGCAAAACCTCAGAGCAAGCCCCACATCACTTGCTCAAGCCCATGCCTACTAATTTCTTAAGAACCCCCCCCCCCAAAAAAAAAAAAAAACTATTCTTCCTTATCATGGGTAATATAAGGATTATCAGGGGCTCTTAAGCAAGAGTAGATGCCTGCATCTGCTCCTCCTCAGACATCTGCGCGACCGGTGCCGCTTCAGCCTCTGGCCTGGTAGGAAAGGATTGAAAACCCCTGAACCCTAAACTTACTGGTTCGTAGTAGGGAGTTTCAGAGTGAGGTTCACACTATGTGCCCGCTTAAAAGGCACCTGATTCCCCTAACCCTACACCCTAAACCCTAAACCCTAGCCCTAAACCCTAAACCCCACACCCTTTATAAACCCTCAACCGCTCTCAAGATCAGGCACCTGGGAACGGGAACGGATGCCCGTTCGCGCCGGTCGAGCTCCAGCTGCTTCAAGAGCTCGGCTTTGTTGGGATCCTGATTAGGGTTTAGGGTTTAGGGTTTAGGCTAGAAGTGTACCAAGTTCTTAGGGTTTAGGGTTTAGGGTTTGGGGTTTAAAGGATTTAGGGTTTCTAGGGCTTCCGCAGGCACTCCCTGCAGCTTTAGGGCTTAGGGTTCTTCGGGTTGCTTATTACCCTTGGAGCAAACGCAGCCCCGAAAGGGGCTATGGTTCATATACTGTGATAGCGATTGCAGTAGTATAGGGTGAAGGACCCCATACTGGACAAGGTACCGAGCTTTCTGACATGAAGGGCATGCCCTCCTTTTTGCCTTATTCTTTTTTGCTGAGGGCAGGGTTCCTAAGAATGGGGCGTACAGTAAGCTGGGTACCTTACGGTGGCCCCTATTTTTTCACTTGTAGGAGTGCTGCTTTTCTCGAGTGTCTACCGGCGCCCACGGATGTTTGCGCTGTTTCGAGTTTGAGTTACAGGACGGCTTTGCTGAGGTTTTCATGGGTTTCTCGAAGGCACCCATGGTGCTTGCATCTCTTTCTCTCTCGCTCTCTGTGGCGGGCCGCGGCTCAGTGCGACAGCCCTGATGCAACCGAAGCCCCCACAACCCCAATGAAACCCTGAACCCTAAACCCTAAACCCTAAAACCCTAAAACCCTAAACCCTAAACCCGAAACCCTAAACCCCACACCTCAAGATGAAGCTGGCGGCCTGAGCCAGCTTTGCCGCACGCTTCTCAGACTCCTGGAGCTTGCCAAAGTGGCTCTTGGCCTGCCCATATACTTGCTGTTGGTTGGTACAAGGAGGGGCTCTGTAGTTATAAGTAGAGTTATAAAAGACCTAAATTGGGTTATATGGATCCTCAATTAGGTTACAAGTCCCTTAACTAGAGTTAGTATAGTAAGGGGGCCCCTCCTTGTGAGGGAATGAGGGAACCCTACACCCTTTTTGAGCAACGGACTTTGAGACTGCCGGCACAACCCTACACCCTAAACCCTAAACCTTAAACCCTTTTTGGACCCAGACTCCTGAAGTCAGCTGGGAAAGGCCTAAACCCTAATCCCTAAAAGGGTATAAAACGGGGATACAGGGTACCTCATGCCCTCCTTCCCTACTAAGCAACTTATAAGCAAAAAACGCCTTCCGGCTTGAAGGTGCAGGGCAAGTCAGGGAGCTCCCCACTAACGTAAACAGGGTTTAGGGTTTAGGGAATATAGCAATATGATTAATTTTCCACTAAAATCGTAAAACATAATACGCAGAATACGCAGGACAAGCTGAAATTTAGCGCGAGATGGCCAGTGTTCATTCACTCCTAGACTCTGCGTTGCATCTGTCTTCTTAATATGCTTATTGACACGCTTGGAGGAATTTATCAGAACGGTCCAAATTCTACGAATGTATCACCTCCTGCAGCAGCAACGGCGCCTCGAGGATCTTGACCACGTGCGTTGGGAAATCCAGCTTCACGCCCTTGGGAAGCCTCCGACAAAGAGATGCTGCTCTTAGTAAGCATGATATTATGATGTTCATAGGCATCATCAGCCTGAAAACAAGCATAGCAACAAGAAACAGCCCGCCCCCCCCCCCGCCCCCCCCAAACCTCCGGACTTCCGGAAAAATTCCCAAGAACTATAAGCTAAACGATCAATCAGGGCAGGGGGCTGCATGAACTCCCCATCTTGCTCCCAGCCCATGCACTGCATCACCTGGATGATGCCCGGCAGGGTGAACAGTGCCGCAAGCTTCTCCTTAGCGAGGGTTTAGGGTTTAGGGTTTAGGGTTTAGGGTCTAGGGTTTAGGGTTGAGGGCATGTGGGCGGATCTTTGGCTTACAGTTGACAAAGCTGCGTGTGGCATCATGTGTCCGAAAACCCCATGCATGTACAACCAGAAGCCCGTGCTGGGGGGCTGCAAGGCTTCTAAGAGCTCATGAGTGCTCCACGTGGAGCAGTCGGTCTAGCTACCCTAGTCCAGCACACGTGCAAAATCGTTTCCGTCACATCCCAGTCTCGTTGGTGGTGCGAACACGTCGGAACTTCTCCTCCTGGGGGTTCTGCGCCGTGTTTCGAGTGATCGTCTCGAGCAGGTCCAGTGCTTTGATAGCACCATCCAAGGGGAGAGCCTGCCAAGGATCGCAAGTCTCATCATAAAAGCGGTCCGAACGGCCTGCGCCAAAAAAAAGCCAAGTAGTTTAACTTATAGGCTTTCAAGAATTCTAGGCTTGGAGGGGTTGGAGGACTAAGGAGTAGGTATTTTATTTTCAAAGCTAAGCTTTGCAGGTCTGAATCCAGATCTTGTAGACCAACAGGTCGTCAACAACGGGGTACAGGAAGAAATGACATGAAACTCCTGAACCTGCGAAAGAGGGCTTGGAGAAAGCTCAATCCACAATGTCTTGCAACGCGCACAACCCCCTAAACCCTAACCCTAACCAGCAACACTCTCGAGAGCGCATCGAAACCTACCCCGCCCAGGCCTCCCTCCCTGCAACCATACCTCCCTGCGAAGAACCCTAAACCCTTTTGAGCCCGGAACTGAGGACCATGTCGGATGCACGAGCCAAAGCAACCCTAAACCCTGAACCTTTTTTGCATCCGGGCTATGAAGTCCTGGACCCTGAGCCCCTGAGCCCGAAACTTAGCAGCACCTCATAGACACCTCAAAACGAAACACGAACCCTCTCAGGGAGCCCTGTAGTTGATAGGAGCCCCAAGCCCTAAGCCCTAAACCCGAAACCCTAAACCCGAAACCCTAAACCCTAAACCCGAAACCCTAAACCCTAAACCGGTGCCCCCACCCTTAGGAGCTTCTCGAACTCGTTGTACTCGTTGGCGAATTTGGTGGGCGGCAAGTTGTAGTACGTCATGGCCGGCACAGCAGGATGCAGGCCGGCCCCCGGGTTTGAACCAGAATACTCTTCCGGTTAGGGTTTAGGGTTTAGGGTTTAGGGTTTAGGGTTTAGGGTTTAGGGTTTAGGGTTTAGGGTTTAGGGTTTAGGGTTTAGGGTTTAGGGTTTGGGAGTTTAAGGTCTCTCATTACAAAGTAGAAGAGGCAGTTCCGTACTCTTGGGCTCCCATGTTTAAAAGGCGAGAGCCATAGGTACGGCTCGTCTCGCATTTTATCCTGGCTCTGCTAGGGGTACCTGCAGATCTAAACTTGAACTCTTCAGAAAGATCCGTGGGGTGCTTTCAAGACACCGCAGCCATGTCCTCCGCACCAACGCCGCGGAAGAGGTGCGTGAGAACAAAGTGAAGTGGCGGCTGTCCGACTCACAGGGGCAGGTTTAGGGTTTAGGGTTTAGGGTTTAGGGTTTAGGGTTTAGGGTTTAGGGTTTAGGGCAAAAAAACGTCTGGCAACCTTGAGGGTGAAGCACCCTTTAAGCGCGAAAGAAACTTATCTCCTTCAGTTGGTCCTTTCTTTTTCTCTCAGATCTTCAGACTGACATCTGCGATTCGGGACAGCATGTATATAGGCAGTACTTTCAAGAAACTGGCTGTCTAGCATCTACGGGACTCACCAGAGTCCATGCTTCCACCAGCCTTTCCGGTCTGGAAAGATCATCACCGTCAGTGGTAGTGCATCCGTGTTCAGCTCATCGAAAATATCGGAGTATTCCTCGCGGGGGGCATGGAGAGCACTGGAAGCCTGATGGCCGTTTGCATGCCATGGGGGCTTGACCTTGCAAATTCTGTGAGTTCAAAGCCAAAGGAGCAGGGGATCTAGCATGGAAGCCGAAACAAACAGAACCCGGCGAGGGGTCGACAATGGAAAGGGCATGCCAGGTCAAACTCATCTCGCCGAAACTCATGCAGCCTGCAAAAGTGCCCTCGAGGACGGATTTGCTTGTAAGAGCAGACTCACCCTAAACCCTAAACCTTAAACCCTAAACCCTAAAGCCCTAAACCCTAAACCCTAAACCCTAAACCCTAAACCCAAGAAGCCTTTTTGCAGCTGCGCGTCTTCGCTGGCATCCGACCTCTAAGAGTGCAGCCATGGCCGGAAAACCCACATTAGGTTTAGGGTTTAGGGTTTAGGGTTTAGGGTTTAGGGTTTAGGGTTTAGGGTTCAGGGTCCAAGCTTACTGCAGGGGAAAGGGGTCCTAATGTAGGGGCCTTAATGATTAGGATAGGGCTATTATAGTAGAATTTTTTTAGGGACCATAAGGGACTATCATATTAAACACGTCGCCTGGTGCTCCCAAGTGGCCGGGTCAGCACAAAGTAGCACAGGTCGGACACGCTGGAGAGGATGCGCCTCGCCTGCTCCTCGCTGCGGCAAATCATCCTCAGGGTCGGGTTCCATCGGTACTGTGGGATTTCTAGGGGCTTCGGGACTTTGGGACCTAGAACCTTTAAATTAGAGTTCCATAGGCACTATGTAGGCACCATGGGGTTTTGGGGATTTTGGGACCAAAAAAACCCTCAACGGCCCAAAGCCCACGCTCTTGGACCTTAGATCCTTAGGCTGTTGTTAGGAGAATCTTTGGCCTGCGATGCAGTTCCACTCTGAGTATGTACCCCAAACCCATCTAAAACCCGCACCCTTGACTGAAGCACTCTTTGGGGTTTCTGATCCCCTAAACCTTATAAACCTTAAGTCTTCAAGCCTAAACCCCAAATTCAGAATCCCTGTCACCGACTTGGGTAGGGCCTCGTGGCTTGGATGATGACGGGGGCTGTCGGGCTTAGGGGCCTCATGGGCTGGGGGCTCGAGTTTAGTATGGTAGAGCGTAAGAAGTAACAGCACAGGTGGAGAAAAGAATGAACCGTGGCGCAGTGTAGACATGCATTAAAAAAGTGCAAGATCTGAGGTCATAGCGGGCTCGAAAGACCTCTTCTTGAGTTAAAACAAGGGTACGTAAGACTTGTAAGGGCCTTTGGTCGAGCTGGCCGAACAGTTTTGGTGGCGTTGCTGGGTTGCAAGAAGCTCGACGCCAGAGTAGAAAGCCTTTGGGAATGAGAGCGCTTTGGGCTCGGGCTTGCCCTAAACCCTAAACCCTAAACCCCAAACCCCAAACCCTAAACCCTAAACCCTAAACCCCAAACCCCAAGCCCTAAACCCTAAACCCTAAACCCTAAACCCTAAACCTGGAGAGCCTTTTCATCCCCCGGAAGCCCGCAGAACAGCCTGGCACGGAGAAGATGCATTCAATGCATTGAAAACAAGGTGCTCAACGTACGCCCGTTGAAGAAGCACCGTCTCCGAGCGCCTCCGCTGGTGTTTGGCGAGTTCCTGGAGTGGCATCTCATTGGCCAGGGTTTAGGGTTTAGGGTTTGGTTTTTTTGGGGCTTTCAGGATTTACGGGGCCGGTTGAAAAGAGCCGTCTCTCCAGCAAACTGTTTCCTGAAAGCTTGGCACCAACTCCTGCACAGCCAAGAAGCCTCGTTCTGTAAAAGCCTTCATCGCGGATTTCGGGGCAAGGTAAGCCCATGTTTCTCAGCTGTACTCCGCTATGTTACAGAATTTACGGTACACAGACGTCTAGAAGAAGCGACTCTAAAGATCTGCTCATCAGAAGCCCTGAACAACTCGTGTTCTGGAAGCCTTAAGCCGAAAATCAAGCACAACTCCGCCGAAGCCTGGACGACCGAAGCCCCAATAATACAACCAATTCCAGAACGACTGCCGAGGGCACATGAACCCTAAAAGGGTTTATGGTTCATTCATATATATGTATGTATACCTTAATCGAAATTCTAGTAGTACAGGCAGTAAAGGGTATATGATCATAATTTTTGCGGGTCATTTGATCCTCAAGGACACAACCATCAACAGGAGCCCTGCCTTTGCAAAGTGTGGGCGGCGCTTCAGCGTCTCTTCGTACCTGCACGTGGGACCGTACAGAGGTTCCAAGATTTCGTGGTTCGGTGGCCTAATATTCCCCAAACAGTGCCCCCAAGAGTATGGGGGGGTGTCCTATATTCCCTTATGGCCCCTCTATAAGCATACTATACTAACCCCCAAAGCCCTATTCTAATTATTGAGGCCCCTTTAGTAGATTGCTGAAGGCGCGCGGCACGGCTGCAACGTTACTCTCGATTCGAAGCCCGCTCACACGCACGAAAATCGCGCTCCAGGCGCAGGCATGTGTCCCGAAATCTCGAAGGCTCCATGTATCTATACAGTATATACTTCGGCCTTAAAGCCGTCCCTATGTAGGTACTAAGTATGGACTATGCGGAGGTGTGCCAAAGTACGCACTCGCCCCGAGGTCCCGTGCGCTTCCTGAGGCGTGCGCCGTCCCATGTCGCGAAAGTTGGCGAGGTGAATGCTGACCCGGGGAGGGATGTAGGGGCCTTGATAATTAGAGTAGGGTATTTAGTTTTACTTGGGGTTATCGGGTTTAGGATTTAGGGTTTAGGGTTTCGGGTTAGTATAGTCTGTAGCAATTTGTCCGACCCCGAAAGTGGGTGCTCCGACGTGTGTGCTGGACGTCCTAAAAAGATCATCGTCCTCCGTTTAAGAACACCTCTAACATTAATCGTCATGCATTCATCTACAAGTATTATCATATATATATATATATATATTCTGTTTCTATATACCGGCATATATATAGATATATATGAATATACGTGCATATATACATAAAGCGAACAAGTCGTGTTCTTGCCCTGTACCCTGGCCCTTCTAGGGCCCTGGAATTCTTTCGGGCTAGGGCTGTAGGGCTTGAGAGGTTCTAAGGGGGCACTGGGCTGAGGTTTTTTTTGCCACCCGCTCTGTACTCGCGCACACCGGGGACAACTTCAGAGGGTCCACACTCCACAGCAGTTGGTAGATTGGCAGATTACTGTGTCTCTGGGCTAGGGTTTAGGGTTTAGGGTTTAGGGTTTAGGGTTTAGGGTTTAGGGTTTAGGGTTTAGGGTTTAGGGTTTAGGGTTTAGGGCGACTCTGGGTTTTCAATACTTTGCGGGCACCACTCGGCCGGTGGCGGCTTTGGCACCGGAGTCTGCGAGTCCTGGCTGTCCTCTGCTGTTTTTTGTTGCACCAGGGACGTTCTGTGGCAGGTCAAACTACCCTTATTGGGAATGATATTGTTGTTTTTTCGGGGGGGGGGGGGGGTCTTTCTATACAAATAGTAGTTCTGCGGTAGGTTCAAGAAGGGGTAGGGGATTCGGGTACTCGATGTGAGCGTCGGGAGTGGGGCTCCGGCTTTCGGAGAGTTGCGAAGTTGCGGCAGCCACCTTCAGGAGGGCGGTGGCGCTAGAAGCATAACATAGGCCTTAATAATTAGAATAGGTTTTTAGAAGGTTACTATAGTAGAAGTACAAAGGGCCCAAAAGGGAATACTATGAGTAACTATTCCGACCCATATAGTACACAGTCAATTGCTGGAAAGATCACTGATCGCGCTTGAAGAAGTCATGGTACTAGGGCAAGATGCTTGTGGCAGATTCAGCTGGGCATCGCAAGTGACAACGTGCTCATTCAGCTGGACCAGATCCAGAGATAGTGGATTCTGAGCCAGTATGGCCTCGCAGGGTGCGGGCTCCTACCAGGATCTGGCAGTCCTCTACCCTACCTGGAGGTTCTATACCTGGGGATACAAACCAGGTGACCATACTTAGCACTGCTGTTTGTAACCTAACATTGGGCATGTGAGAAACCACAATGGTAAATACTCATGAAATGTTGAATGAGCCTAAGCCCTAGAATTCTCATGAGCTATAAACCCTACTGAAGCCTCAGCCCTAGACGACAACCATAGCCAAGGCTGAACAAGGTCACACTTCTCGGGCTACTAAACATTGGAGCTGTTCTTTCCTCAAGTGTTGCCATCTGCTGCTTTAAGGACAAATGTCAAGGGACTTCGGCGGCTTCTGCCGAGATGCGTCCCGGTCGTAGTCCGACAGCGGATTTTCACCAGATTTCGCGCCAGGTGTCTGCCACCATCTGGGGGACAAGCAATGCATGTCTCATTTCGTGCGACTGGGTCCAAAGTGAGTCGAAAGTTGGCTGCTTCTCAGCTGCAGTGTACTCCATGCCCTTACGTGAACTTATCTCAACCCGCTCCTCGAATCAAGAACTCGTGTTTCGCGAGTCGCAACTGGGCCTGCCATTCATGGCGAAGCAGCAGGCAGAGGCTCCATCGTTCGTCCTTTTGCAGAAACAGTGATCGAAGGAGGCCAGGCACACAAGGAACTGGGCTAAGTGCAGACAGGAGCTCGGCCTTTGTCCTATATGAGGGCTTCCGAAAGTAGGGGTACCTTATTGGGGTCCGTATTATGAGGGGATGCTACTATTTGGGGTCTATTCAAGGGGTCCCCTATTTTCGAAAGCCCCATATAGCTCCCACATATATATATATATATATGTCATTCTGCCTACGTACCCGGAAAAGACCCAGGGCCCAAGTGAGACAAACAACTCATGACAGGCCTAAGCGCTACTGCTCCTTTGAGCACGCGCTGGGCCCATGACCTGGCACTAGCGGCGTCTTCCAGGAGGGTGACCAATCACTCAAGATGGAAAACGCTGACACCCTCGTGTACACGCGCCGTCTCAAACTCTGCCCAGCAGATCGTGAACTCATTTAACCGCACATGGACACACACACACACGCACACAACGGGAAGAGAGCAAGAGAGAGCAGGAAGACAGAGAGAACAAAGAGGGAGAGAGATACCTTTTCTGAACCCTGTCTCAGGCTGGGGATGCCCGCAGGAAGACTTACTTGCTGAGTTCATAAGTCATAAGCGCCAAGAAATATACACTTGCAGTTCTTTAGGGGATTAGAGTATCCCAAAAAGGTGTCAAGTGTACTCAGCTACTAAGAAGAGAAAGTTTGACAAACTGACACTTTTTTTCCAACCAGTAGCTTTCAGGCCTACAACAAAAAAACGCTTAATCGGCGTATGTCTACCGGCCTCTTGAGTTCGTGAAAGAGCCCGAATGTAGGGGTCGGAATAATTACTAATGGTGATCCCTTATGCTCTCTGTGGAATTATACTGAAACTAACCCTGAAAGCCCTGTTCTTTTAATCTCAAGGCTCCCATACTAAACCATGAAACCATCCTGAGTGCCCCACAACTACAACTCTAAGGCCTTTTTTGTTGCGCTCTAAACCCTGTAAACCCTAAGCCCGAAACCCTAAACCCTGAACCCTGAACCCTAAACCCTAAAGCCAGCGAAGCTCCTGCGCGGGCTGCGCGAGCTGCCGCGCGAGGCTGCGGCTTGCGCCATGCAAAGGGGCTTTGGCAGGGACCGGAGGGTGTGGGGAGGGGGGGGGGGGGTTGTTTAGGGTTTTAGGGTTTAGGGTTTAGGGTTTAGGTTTAGGGTTTGGGGGGGGGGGGGGTAAGGTTGAGGGTTAAGATTATTTGCCCTGGGGGGGGCAGGTACGGGCAGGGGGCGGCTTGTCAATGTGAGCGCAAGCGGAGCTTCAGTATTCAGGGATAACGTACCTCGTCTACCAAAGTTGTGTTGGGAAGGGTGTGTGGACCAGCGTGGAGGTTTTTCAAGAATGTCATCACGCCAAACGTGATCCTAAGCCGCAACGTCAGGGACCGAAAATCGCGACAACAAGCGCTCAGGTGGTCCATGGCACTCCATCAGGAACTTCTTTTCGTTCGGGACGATTCGTCTGCCGAGTGGCCGTTACGTGCAGAACTGTGGGGGGTGAGTGGGTGGGGGGGCTAGTACCCCTAAACCCTAAACTCTAGACCCTAAACATCCCTAAACCCTAAACAGCAAGGCTGGCTGCGGGTGGGTCGGCCCTTTTTGCTTCTGGGCTGGTATCCTTCCACTCCTTTCACCCGGATAGCCGTGGTTCGTTTCAGCACCCAGGCGCGCGCGACACCCCACACCCCAAAGCCCTGAAATCTAAACAAGCAGCATCCAGCCAAACGCGGTCACTAAGATGTAAATATGAGGCTAGACGTGGAGTAGTAGTCAAACCCTACCAACCAGCCCTGAGAACCTTCACCGGTGCGGTTTAGGGTTTAGGCCATGTTTAGGGGGTTTGTCGTCATTCCGACTGTGTCTCAGAAAGCTGTCTGCCGATCTAAGTGTGCTTGGTTTGGGGCGTCTAAGTGTTTGACCTGAGAGGTCATTCTTGTGCCTTTAACAAGGCAACGCTTCGAAACACGCCCGCCAAGCAGACCAGCTACACTGCGGAGGTTTGGGGTAAGGACCCTGCCTTGCTTCACCGCACAACCCCACAAGCTCTATGCACATGACAACACAGCAAGGAATCCAAAAACCCTCCAAGCCCTAAACCACCCTAAGGGCCCTAGCCCTAAAACCCTCCAAGCCCTAAACTCTAAAGTTTAGACTCTAAACCCTAAACCCAGACCCAAAAACCCTCCAAGCCTCTAAACAGCCTCAGTGCCCTACCGCTTCCCGCTGAGCAGACCCGAAGCAACCGCGGTCGCCATCTCGGAGAGCCTCCAAAGCGGACAGTTTAGGGGTTTAGGGGTTTAGGGTTTAGGTTGAGGATTACGGATATCCAGGAGTTCAGCTCCCGCTGGAAAGGTCTAGTCTAAGGTCTCTGAAGAAGATTTCTAGAGCTTGGATTCTAGGGGGGGGGGGGGGGGTCGGCACAGGATGACATTCTTCTGGATATGTCTGGACACTCTTGGATGGAGTGGGAACCCCAACCCTAAACCCTAAACTCCCTGAAGCCCTACATAGGCTCAATTGCCTTGATGGGAGGGAGGGCTTAGGGCATCTGTCTTCGGGCCGACTTGCATGCGGGACCGATCTTGCTTTAGGTGTTTTTTGGGTTTAGGGATTTTAGGGTTTAGGGTTTGGGGCCTTGGGGGGTTTGTAAGGCCTTTTTGGGTTTAGGGTTTTTGAGGCTTTAGGGTGTTTAGGGTTTTATGGTCGATAAGGCTTAGACCCCTGTTTGCGACTCTCTTCTGGTTTAGGTCCAGAGCAAAAGCTTGTAGTTTAGATCACCTCTTCGAAAGCGCAGCAAGCCACTTCTTATGACCATTCTTGTAGAAGATGTTACAAGCAACAGGGCTAATAAAGGGCCCCTGATATTAAACCCCCATGCGATCCTTGCATCTTCTCGTGCGAGCCCAAACTATCTCAGGGAAGTTACACGGCCCCATAGTATGGGCCCTTACACGGGGACCCCGTATATACCAACTATATACAGGCCCAGACTTCAGAACCCTTTGAAGAAGGTATGGGACCGTATTAAGGGGCCCATGAAACTACCCTCAGAAACAGAAGCTGATCTCCGAATCCTAGAGGATGTTCACCTCCCTAATGCCGTGACTCCCAAAGCCGAAAAGACCCCAAACCCTAAGCCACAAACCCTTTTTCCATCCCAAAACCCTAAAGGCCGCAAACCCTAAACTCATGATTATCCGATTATCCACACCACCATGACGACCAGTAGCGTGTTTTTGTGATGACAGCTGCGGTGCAATGTAGAGTGGGGGGGGGGGGGGGGTTTGGAATTCAAGGGCCCTTTTGAACCTAAAATCTTTTTTGAACCTGGAAGCTGCTTCATGCCAGGACTGAGGCCCGAGCTTCGTCATCACAGACCAGCAGACCCCAAAAACGTTAAACCCTAAACCCACCAATCATCCTGAAAACGGCCAGAAACAACTTCAACCTGAAGGTTCTCCCAGGCCAATGCAACTGGGTTCCCAGACTCGGAGTTGGGGTATACAAACCTGCGGAGTGGATGTCTGGGTAGTTCTCTAACCTCATGGTCCTTTTTTTGCCGGGGGGGGGGGGTTCGTATTTTAATACAGCGCCTTATACGTTTATGAGAAAAACTGCACATATATATATATATATATGTACAGGTAGATAGATAGATGGATATACATATATGTATATATGTATATATATATATATATATATATATATATATATATATATGCATATGTAAAGGTAACCAAGAAGGGCCCAGAATTTAGAGAATGGGTTCTTTTTGTTGTTCGCTCCAGGGTCTTTCAAAGTTCAGGGCTTGGTTCGGGTTTAGGGCTTAGGGCTTAGGGCTTAGGGCTTGGGATTTAGGGTTTGGGGTTTAGGGTTTGGGGTATAGGGTTTAGGGTTTAGGGTATAGGGTATAGGGTTTGGGGTATAGGGTTTAGGGCTAAGAGAGGGATTGAGGTTGTGGAGCCTCCTCTGAAGTTCACCGTGGAGTCTAGAAGTCTGGAAGGTGCATAGGAAGCTCTCTAAGTTAGGGTCCCTTCGTTGGGCCCCCTGTACCCCAGAAGGGACCCGAATTTAGAGTGCCCTTCTAGGGGCCTCAGAGTTCTTGGGGCATGCTCCGACGGCAACTTTCAGAAGCCTAGGGCTGTGCAATTAGGGTTTAGGGTTTAGGGTTTAGGGTTCAGGGGGGTTTTGGCCTCGGTTTCGGGTCTAGGGTTTCTATACCCGCCTTAGAACCAAAGAGCAAAATCATTTTGCTTCGAACATCCCCACCCTCTTGGTAGAGATACTCTGGGGTTGGTCACTCCAGCAACACTCTGGGGCTCGGCACACCTGGGACAATCTGGGTTGTGCACTCCAGGAAGACTCTGGGGTTGGCACTCCGGCCCTTCAGGAGACTCTGGGGTTGGGCACTAGGAGACTCTGGGGTTGGGCACTCTAGGGAGACTCTGGGGTTGGACTGGGGTTGGGCACTCTTGGGAGACTCTCGGGTGGGGCCTCCACATTGGGCACTTCAAGAATGTGGGGCTGGGCAGTCCGGGGACACTCTGAGGGAGACTGTGGGGTTGGGCACTCCAGGGACACACTGTAGAGCTCCAGCGGTGAGCGAGGAGTAGACCGTTCCGGGCGAGGAGAAGAGTTCTGGGCGAGGAGAAGAGTTGAGTTAAAAATCTAACAACCCCACACCGAGGGTGGGGCAAAAAAACTATCTTCATTTGCATGTAGGGTTTAGGTTTTAGGGTTTGGGGTTTAGGGTTTAGGGTGGCGCGGGCCCTGTTAGAGGGAAGCGTTCATAGCCACGTTGGCGTGCACCGGACGACAGCCGACAGTCCGCGCATTCTCGCATCCCTGCCCTGAAGCCCTGAATCCTAAATACAGGTCTAGAAACGAACGCGGTTTCGACGATGTGGCATGGCAACTTGGGGGAAGACACAATTCTCATCAGTGGTGGACAGCGGATGAGTTTCATCTTCCGGGAAGCGCGGAGGAATGCACTAGCACCTGCTAAGGCAAGAATTCCGCCAAGCTCTGGGAAAACATGCCCTGTTATCTACTATTTGTTGAAGACATTTGAAGAACCAAAAAAAGCTACCTAGTAGCCCTAAACCCTAAACCCTAAACCCCAAATTCCAGGATCCTTGCTTGGCCGAGGGGCGGTTCATTCGGTTCCTCGTCAATGACCAAGGCATCGACCTCGTCGAGGATCAGAACGCGGCCTGGCCGGCTGAGGGTTTTGGGGGTTTAAAGGGCTTAGGGCTTAGGCTTAGGGCTGAGGGCTGAGGGTTCACTATAGGGTTTAAGGGTTTAAAGGGTTTAAAGGGTTTAAAGGGTTGAAAGGGTTGAAGGGTTTAGGGCTTTGGTTGGCCTTTGTCGGAACTCGGGAGGTTACACAAAAGGTAAGAAACTAGAACCTAGGAACTTCAGGTGTAGACCCGGTACGATCAAACCCCTCAACCCTCCCTTCCATCCTGCTTTTCTAAGAATAATTCAGCACACCCCAAACCCATACCCCTTAACCTTGAAAGGAGAATACAAGGAAGGATTTTACCATACCCCTTAATTTCTTTAAGGGGCATGCCCAAGGGGTATGTTGAATATTTCTTAGAGCTTTCCTTCAATCCCAAGACCCTGTGCAGCTGCAACCTGCGTAGCTGTCGAAGTCCCGCTTGCCCTGCTCATTCCGCGCGATGCTGGCGTAGAAAGACCTGTTCACTTTTGCGACATGGTTGCTTGTGATCATGGGCACTGGTCACGGTGACTCGTCAGCCTTGCTGTGATGTTGTGGGCGAGTTGAGGGCCCCCTAAACCATCTAAACCATCTAAACCATCTAAGCTCTCTAAACCCTAAACGAAGTTCAGAAGCTGAGCTGCAAGCTGCACATGCTTTGCTTCGCAGTAGCAAATGTCAGCATCTGCATCCACCCGTGCGGCCAGACCTTGAGGAAGGGCCAACTGCCGCAGCCAGGGTGCAACTATCTGTCATGGTAGCCCAGTAACCATATTGTGATAAGGGCACCCTTTTGTGGGTTTAGGGTTTAGGGTTTAGGGTATTTGATAAGGGAAACCAT